ATTTTTTCTATCTTGGTGTTTTTCTCTATCGTGTGAGCTCCACACGTTCACTCTATCCAGTGTTGTTTACATTCTGTGATGCGCGAGCTGATGACGTCACGTCAAGACGAGTCTAACTATTTTTTTCTCAACTTTGTGTGGAAAAATGCGGGGATTATGCGGCCTTTTGATAAATATGCGGCCTTTTAAAAATCTGCGCCATTTTGCTGATTATGCGGTAAATTCTGCGATCGCAGAATCGCGTTTTTCTGGAGGGTCTAAGAAGTAGCTTCGATGGGATGAAGCTTAAGCCCTGCCTGCCTGCAAGAGGGGTTGTAGTTGAAGCCAGAAATGGGTGAAGCTTCGCAAGAGATGAGGGCCCGTTCCGCGTGAAGGCCGGAAGCGCCGCATTAGAGCGGCCCTGATGCCAGTGATGCCCTCTCGAGAGACTGAAGGCGTGCGTCAATTGTTTGCCTGAAGTAGCCCTTCCCATTAAGCCGGAGGAACTTCCGTGGAGCCCAGTCTCCTTGTCTTTTCCTCCCGCGTCCGGGTTTGCGGGGTGGCCGGCTGGAACCGCTAGCCGACTGGGGAACGCCGCCTGTAGCTTAAACCGCAAGACTGCGGAGCTGATGAATATATACCTGAAGCTGGGACGAAGCCCTGCTGCTGCTTGCGCTTGGTCACCTGAAATGACAGCTGACAGGAAGGAAGAGCAGGCATTTAAGGAATTTAACGTGTGCAGCAATTGGTTGCTGAGGGGGGACGCCCACGCATTTAATGAGGGGGGAGAGAGCGATAGAGTGACGTGTAAGTGACTCATTGTTAGGTCTTCCTTATTGAACTTGCGCTAAAGCTTTCATTTCACATCATTCATCCACATCTGTAAAGTAACTAAAGCTATTAAATACATGTAGTGAAGCAAAAGAACACAGTTCACCTCTGAATCTGATATGGGCCATACTGAAAAATGTGTACTTTTACTGTAGTATTTATAGTTTTACTCAAGCAAAATATCCGAGTACTTCTTCCACCTTTGTGTATAGTACATAGAGGAACAACATAATGTTTCCTCTTGTCCCCGAGGTACTTTTACTGACATTTAGATTAAAGCAAACATCAAACTGCACATAAGGTGTGATGCGAAACAAGATACAATATGTACTAAAGTAATCATTCAATGACGTTTTCTGGTGAAGCACTAATACAGCTGAGCTAAAGAGTGTGTAACCTGCAACTCAATAATAGAGAACATGGTTTAACACACCAGTTGTTATTTGTTCAGTATTTAAAAAATGAAGATTTCAGCATATGTTCTCAATCTTTATTTGTCCTGGCTCTGCTCCGACTAATGACCTAACACTTGTATTATTTAATGTGTCTTACAAAACACAGCTCATGTTCCTCTGTGTTTTTACTCCCTGCTGTAGGCGGATGTTATCAGTCTTGTCTGCTTCCTGTTGGCTAGCTGGACCGACAATCAAAACACTGATAGTTAATGATCTGTTTGATACAATAGCTGCTTTTTCTCAGCAGAAGCAAGTAGATCATTCCTGTGTGAGTGTTATACTATGCATAGGCAACAGTGCTGATAAAAGAACTCAACATGTAATTAATGTTTCTAATTTAAAATCCTGACAGCATTTCTGTAGTATTGCCAAGTAAATGTGTGTGTGTGTGTTTAGACCCTGGTGGAGTACGGCTCCAACGTGACGTTCCAGAACCAGCAGGGGGAGCGGGCCTCCCAGAGTGCCGAGCGGCAGGGACACACCACCTGCGCTCGCTACCTGGTCGTCGTGGAAACATGCATGTCGTTGGCATCGCAGGTTGTTAAGCTCACCAAACAGCTCAATGAGTAAGAGATTGTTTCTCAGTTTTTGTTATTCTTACACTAATAATCTTCAACACTATAGTTGTTTAAACATTGTCTTCATATCTGCCTTCAAATGCTTTGAATGTATTTACCTAAAGGAGTAGGTTTTTGTACTTTATTCAGCAGGTTTGGATAATCATGAATGCAGTCATTTTAACCAACGAGATGACTCATTGAACTTGTGTTTTAGAATTTCCTGCAGGAATTTAGTTTGCAGAATATTGGCAGACTCACCAAGAAGATTAACTTCTTCAAACAACATGGCCTACTGCTGTGTGTGTATTCTCAGCACATTCAAGAAAGCCCCATTTCCTCCACAAAGAAAGTTAGGCAGATAGGCTGTTTGCCGCTCTGGTTTGCTGTAAAAATGTAAACTGGTTTGATTTCATGAAAACTTGCTGAACAGGCATTTGCAAGATGATAAGTCGACTGATTACAAGCTAATTTCGAACAGAGACAAAAAAAAATCCATAAATGAAACCTCTGTGACATCAACAATACGTTTCTGAACAGCGAAGCTCAAAGTGGGGAATTCGGCTGTTGCCATCTTGGGAGTGACAACACGGTTTACCTCCAAATCCACAAATGGGCGGGAGTTGGCGCGGGCCTGGGTGGTTCAACAGGAGCACCTACCTGTCTTTAAACCTGGACATAGTAAAAATGGATGTAAACATGTTTATATCTGCTGTAAAGTTGGATATTTTAAGTGGGAGTATATGGTATGGTAGTCATATCATTGACTCCCTTTTAGAGCCAGCTTTCTGTAAACTGCAGTTTTTAAACCTTCCGAAAGCTAAATCTTTGTCATATGGACCCAGATGGATTCCGTGATTTGCATTTCAGCCAATGCGTTTTACCTCTTTTGCTCTCCAAACATACTGCTTACATGCATTCAACCAAGTACTGCAGTCTGTTGCCCACAGATTCTTCAAGTAAAGGTAGTTTTTTAAGAGATGAATTCAGCGTTAACCCTGTTGTGTGTATGTGTTTGTCATGTAGACAGGCAACAGACAGGATCACTCTACAGAAACAACTGCAGGGACTGATGGACCCCAACAAGACAGAGGGTTCACCTTCAAGATCACCCAGGTAACACACACACACACACACACACACACACACACACACACACACACACACACACACACACACACACACACACACACACACACACACACACACACAAGGATGTCAAGGGAGCGAGTCAGTGCTGGCAAACTACATTATTTTCACTCAGTGCAAGAATACTCATCGTCTAGTTGCCAGCATTGTGAACCCAGAAAAGTTGAGTACCCCAAAGGTTTATGTTGGAAATGTAAAGTACGGGTCCCCAACACAAAGACACAGCTGGATGCTAACTTGCATACAGGACTGTCTCAGAAAATTAGAATATTGTGATAAAGTTCTTTATTTTCTGTAATGCAATTTAAAAAAACAAAAATTTCATACATTCTGGATTCATTACAAATCAACTGAAATATTGCAAGCCTTTTATTATTTTAATATTGCTGATTATGGCATACAGCTTAAGAAAACTCAAATATCCTATCTCTAAATATTAGAATATCATGAAAAAGTATACTAGTAGGGTGTTCAACGAATCACTTGAATCGTCTAATTAACTCGAAACACCTGCAAGGGTTTCCTGAGCCTTGAAAAACACTCAGCTTGGTTCAGTAAACTAAATCACAAGTATGGGGAAGACTGCTGATCTGACTGCTGTCCAGAGGACCGTCATTGACACCCTCCATCAGGAGGGTAAGACACAAAAAGAAATTTCTCAAAGAGCAAGCTGTTCACAGAGTGCAGTTTCAAAGCACATCCACAAAAAGTCTGTTGGAAGGGGGAAATGTGGCAGGAAACGCTGCACAACCAAGAGAGATGACCGCAGCCTTAACAGCATTGTGAAGAAGAGTCGCTTCCAGAATTTGGGGGAGCTTCAAAGACAGTGGACTGAAGCTGGAGTCCAGGTATCAAAAGTCACTGTTCACAGACGTGTCCGGGAAATGGGCTACAATAGCCGTATTCCCATGGTCAAGCCACTTCTGAACTCAAGACAACGGAAGAGGCGTCTGACTTGGGCTAAGGAAAGAAGCACTGGACAGTTGCACAGTGGTCCAAAGTCCTCTTTTCAGACGAAAGCAAGTTTTGTATTTCATTTGGAAGTCAAGGCGCCAGAGTCTGGAGAAAGGCTGGAGAGGAGCAAAATCCAAGTTGCTTGAAATCCAGTG